CGTTGTGTCATCTCCGTGTTGTTGTGAAGCCGCAGTCAGGAAGCTGTGATGGAGGACATGGAGGAGACTTGTTGCCTCGTAGTCTGCTCGCCACCTTGTGGTCCTTTAAGCTCACAAAGATCCACACTTTAGATCTCCTGCCCGACCAAATGAACTTAATGACCAGGCTCCGCTCTGAATGAAGTCTGAGGGTTACCGCCTGACGCGTCACATGCAGCGCACGACTAATGAAAAATTAGTCGACAAATGCTTTTTCCGTAGTCCAGATTTGTATTTCCCTGTGAGGCTGAACATGAGCGATCTGGACTTTGGATGCAGGTCCAATGAGGCCTGTACAAGTGGATGTTTATTTATACACATCTTTGATAATCAGAGAAAACCTTCAGCATAGATGAACACCATGTGTTTTAGGTTCAGGAAGTCTAAAACAGAAAGGGAAGTTCTTGTATTAATCAACGGCATCGGTTTTGATTCTCTTTTCCTCCTTCAGGGGCGTCGCTGCAGCAAAGAGCTACGAAGAAACGATTTCCACCAAGAGGAGAAGGAGTACGAGTCGAGAGGAAGAAGGCAAGAGCAAGAGGAGGAGCAGCCAAGAGAGGTCCAGGTCCACAGATAAAAACACCAAAGAGGACAGAACCAAGTCCAGGTCCAGAGAGAAATCTAGAGATAAAGACAAGAAGAAGTCCAGGTCTAAATCCAGGTCCAGAGAGAAATCCAGCAGGAGCAAGTCTACCAGAACCAGGTCCAGGTCCAGAGAAAGGTCTACTAGGAAGAGCAGGAGGTCTAGATCCAGAGAGAAGTCCACAAGAGAGAGAAGGTCTAAGTCTAGGTCCAAAGATACATCCAGCAAAGACAAGACGACCAGAACCAGGTCTAGATCCAGAGAGAAGTCCACAAGAGAGAGAAGGTCTAAGTCTAGGTCCAAAGATACATCCAGCAGAGACAAGACGACCAGAACCAGGTCTAGATCCAGAGAGAAGTCGACGAAAGACGAAAACACCAGGTCCAAGTCCAGAGAAGAGTCCACCAGAGAGAGAAGGTCCGGCTCTAAGTCCAGTCCCAAAGAGAAATCCAGCAGCGGATCCTCCGAGAAGAACCAGACCGGAACAGAAGAAGAACCGGAGAAAACTGAGAAACTGGAGAAAATGGAGACGTCCGGTAAGAGACAAAGTTCTGATGATCTGTCGTCGCAGAAATAATTGAGGAAACTGAATTATTAGCATTTTAAGAGCAGCTTATGAAGCTGAGTTAATGATAACATCAAAGCAGAATATTAAACAACGTAAAAATGTATCATATTTAGACGTTCTGGTGATGAAGATATTTCCTATGTTACGTCTATTAAGTAAAACAATTATTAAAGTTATGAGATATTTCGTAAAATAACTAGATAACCTTTAGTTATAAAGGTTATGTTCAGATTTCGTACGATACGTTGATTTCGTAAAATACAACACGTACAATAAGATGACATGTAGAAAGGTATAATGGTCATGTCCAGAAATGTTACAATAAATAGATAACGTAAATATCGTACGATAAGTCGATTATGTAAAGAACCTAGGCTAAGTCGATAACATAAATCACATAAATGATGTACGGAAAGTCAAAAACGTAAATATTGTATGATAAGTTTATAGCGTAAATATCGTACGATAAGTCAAAAACGTAAATATCGTACGATAAGTCGATAATGCGAATCAATGTGAAACGGCCTAATTCACAAAAGTAAGTAATTTCCTTTCTTAGATACGGATCAGGTTTGGTGACACTTTCAGGGGTTACTGTTATTACTCTTCAGGAAATACTGACGTTATTTTGTGCTACATCAAAGCTAATCCCTCTTCCTCCTCTTCCTCCTCCTCTTCCTCCTCAGACTCTGATCCCGTCACAGACATGAAACCTGCAGCTGAGGAAGAGGAGGAGGAGGAAGAAGAGTGAGTCTCATTCTGTATTTAAATCACCTGCTGCTTTTATCAGAGTGTTAAATTCTATCTGTTGTCCTGCAGGTCGTCTGCAGAGGAGAGCGACCTCGAGGGGATGGCGGTGATCGGAGAGGATGGAGAGAGTCTGGAGGAGGAAGAGGAGGAGGAGGAGGAAGAACACCGTCCCGCTGAGAGAACAGACTCACCTGGAGAAGGTAGAAACAAAAATGGCGCTGAGAGAAAACACAATATCATCCTAATTTTAAAAAATAAATTAAAAAAAGATTCTGGCTCTGTTGTGATTGGTCAACCACTTAGAGATGTCCTGCCCCTTTAACCTATCAAATGCAATGTGTTGGAGCGCTAGCCAATAGGAGCGCGAGTGTCACATAGTGATGTTTTCCCAGAACTTCAGCCTCTGCAGAACGTTTACACTAACAGCTACAGAACTACAGGAGAGGAGCAGGGACTCTTTCAAATGTGTTCTCTGTTTCAGGTCGAAAGGAGGAGGCGAAGGATGGAGAGGAGGGGCCTATAAAAGAGGAAGAGGAGGAGATATCTATAAGGCAGCAGGATGAAGAGGTAAAGACACAAAAACACTTATTTATATAATGTTACATTCTTTAAAAGGACACTATGCGGTAACAGTCAGAATAATTCAATAAAAAGTTGTAATGTTTGGACAAAAAAAAGATTCAAATATTTCACAAAAAAAAGTAGAAAACATTTGAAAACTGAAAGAAAGTTGTAATATTTCAAATTAAAAGCTCCAAAAATTCCAGAAACGTTAAAAATCTTGAGAACTTTTTCAGGAAAGGCTCTTGTAATGGTTGGGGAATAATTTGCACTGCATGCCCTCCTTCGCCCTCTGACGCAGCTGACCAGCCTTGATCAGCCGTTATCCCCCTGAAGGAGGGGCTGGGGCCGGGCAGCTCTCGCTCAGAGATAGTTGTTGTTGAGGTGACTCCGAGCCATAAGAGACATAAAAGAAAGTCGATCAAATTCAAGTAAAGTAGAAATATGTTGAGGAGAAGTCAAAAGTGAACTATGTAAAGAATTCAAACAGAATAAAACACATTAGAAACATTCAAAAGCAAAGATAATAAAAGATGAATAAACGTCACAGTGCCGTGTGAGATGGGAAAAGTCTTCAGCCTGGATTTAAAAGTAGTCAGAGTTACAGCGGACCTGCAGGTCTCTGGGAGTTTAATATCCCTCACCAGATTCTGTTGTTTTTCCTCAGGAGGAGTTTGAGTTCCCTCTGGACCTGGAGGACTGCATCACTCTGGATGAGCTGAGAGAAGAGTCT